TGTGTGTGTGTGTGTGTGTGTGTGTGTGTGTGTTAGGATCATAAGGACAAAGCATTCAGGTTGTTTTCAGATCTATATTTGTAGTTTTGCAGCTCAGATTATGACAGAAAATAAAATCAACACAGTGAATTGGACATGGTAACTTTCAAAACTGAAGAAAAACTAGAAAGCTGGAAATATCCCGACCAAATATTTAATGATAAACATTTTTTAAAGCTGATGAAAAAAATATTAAACCCAATTGCTAATGGAGACAAAATCCTTCTTCGTCAAAAGTGACAAAAACACACAATGTAATACAAACTAAAGTCACGTCTGGGTCTGCACAAAGTTTTTCACGAAGTAAATACATTTTAAAACCAGTCGGGATTTAATTGAAGCCAATGAAATGACACAGTTTGCTGTAAAGACATTTTAGGACGGAAGCCGTTTCGTGTTTCCCGTCCTCCGGCTCAGTGAGGACGCAGCAGGAAGCCGGAGAAGATGCTGTAACCGGCCGGTTTCCCTCTCATCCCTCTGTAGTCTTTGGTCTCCAGCCAAACCTCCTGATCTCTCGACATGTAGACGGCCAGGCCACCGGACGTCACCTGGAATCAGACATTTAATCTTAGCGTAAATGATGGAATGATAAATAATAAATAAAAAGATAAAATGCATAAGGTTTTGTTGGTGTCTCTAATATCGTTGGTTTTACACAGCAAGATCAAGCGATACCTTGAAAAATACATTTTAACACTATATTACAGTACCTTCAAAATGTGGTACAATAAACGTACGTTATAAGTTTACATGACTTAATTCTCTGACTCGTGACTTCTTCATGACGTCGCTTATCATGTGACGTCATAAGATGGGGAATCATTTTCTGGTCAATATAAGATTTACATTGTCTTACTATTATTTGAGGAGATATGTTGGTAAAAGCGTTATCCTGACCAAAGTCGTTTGTTGCCTTGACCTTTGTCCAATCAGCTCCAAAAGTGAATGATCTGGAGATACACTCCCGACTCGTATTTAAACCAAGTTTGGTGAAAGTCCGTCATTAGATTGTTGAGTTATTTTGTTCACATTCACACACGCACACAGGGTAAATGTATTTAGTGACTGTTTAATGCTCGCACCTGTCTCCTCACACGGCGGAGATCACAGAATGATGTCAGCAGATTTCCATCCATCTTCATCAGGACACAGAGACGTTCGTCTAAAGAGGCGTGAAACACAAAGTAGTACGTCCCCGGGACGCGACACCTGAAACACACAAACTCACTTGATTCACAAAACGTGGATTCGTTTGACTCCCGTCTCGCTGCGGCCCGTTCACTGTCAGTCACCTGAAGCGTCCCGTGTCTGTGTCATAGTCATTGTTGATGTTGGTGATGACTGTGATGAACCGAATGACGCTGGATCTATCCGGGTAGTCGTTGGTGCCTCTGGCCACGCTGAAGGCCGCCCTCTGCTGGATTCCGATTGACCTGCAGCCACAGAAGCAACAGAAAGTGAGGGCCGGAGCCCCGCGGCAAAACGTAATCTGTGGCCCCCAATTAAAACTAGACCATATACTGTAAATAAAGATGGATGACGGCTCCCCGTAAGTGTAGCTAAAATGTCTCAATCTCCATCTGGTGGCTGGTTACAGTATAGGTCATAAACACCACCTCCTCCATGTTATTGGATGGTAACTAATAATAAATGTTCTTGAAGATGATTTCTGTCATTTTGGGCAGTTTTCATCAACTCGAAGGAGTTGTTTTATAAAAATGGACTGAAAGGACATGATTGTCTTTGGTGCAGGAGGGCTGCGTCCACATTTTTGCTTCAGTTCTGGATCGTGGGAGGATGTGAAGATGTTTTATCTTTGCTTACAATAGATTCCTAAATTTTCAACGTTGAGAGTTGAGTAAAACTCCCCTGCAGAGCAACACACTTCTCTTCTGTCCTCATCAGGCCTCCTGTGACTTGCTCATTGATTTGTCCGATTACATACCCGGATTCCCCTGGTTCTCCGGGAGGGCCGTCAAACCCTGGGAGCCCTGGTCCCCCAGGATCCCCACTCTGACCTCGTTTACCAGGGGCCCCCATCAGCCCCGGCACCCCCTTCTCTCCCCTCCGTTGGCCGAGCCCGCTGACAGCCTCTGCTCCTGCAGACACCAACAACATTTCATGAGCTGCACCAACCTGCTGTGTCTCACAGTTAGATTAAACTCTTCCTGAGAGTTTGGGATGAATGTTGTAATCTAATGTCTGTGTGTGTTGAATATGGAACTGGAGTCATGGCCAAAGTTCAGGAATACAACCAAAAGCTGCCAAAACTCACTAAAGCTGCTTTCAGACATACACTGGAGGATCTGCATGTTAGAATGCAAATGTCTGAGTCATTTTACAGAACTTTTCGAGTGAGCCCATGTGAGAATACAGCAGGAGCCATAGATGTAGATGTTCTGGGCATCAATGTTTTTATTTATCAGCTGACCTGTTTATGGAAAAGTGCTTAATAAATTATATTATCTTACCTGGTTGTCCTTTCTCTCCTTTATTTCCATCACGACCGTCTCTGCCGGGCAGCCCAGGCATACCTGAGGATGGAAGACGTAAAGATAAAACACACACACACACACACACACACACACACACACACACACACACACACACACACACACACACACCACTGGACATACCTGGCATCCCGGGAATCCCTGTTGCCGGGCAGGTCTCCAAAGAAACCAGCAGGGGTACGACCAATGAGAGCAGGGCTCCGATCACCAGATAGAAGTGACGGATCATGATGGAGAACCTGTGATGGACGAGACGAGACAAGGATGATTAGACCAGAGAAGAGTGGGGAGGAGAAGAGGGAAGGATGCTAGGAAAGGTGAGGAGGAAAAGATGAGAGGAGACAAGTGGAAATGAACAAAGAAGAATGATGAGGTTAGCAAAGAGAAAGATGGGAAGAGAAGAGAAGAGCAGAGGAGACTAGGACAGGAAAGATAAGTGGAAAGGGTGATAAGAGAGAGGAGAAGAAGATGGTGGATGCATGGGACATGCATGAAGGAGGGATGACGAAGACAGGAAAAAGACAAGAGGAGGAGAGAGGGAAAGAAGAGACAGGGTAGTGTTGGGACAAGAGGAAAGGTGGAGTGGATCATACAGCTCAAATATCCAAATTCATTTTTTGATATATGAAATACACAATCTTAATAATAAAGGAGAAACAAGCTGATTCTTTCACTAATGTTTCTGTTAAATAAAGAAATGTATAAACTCACCTGAGAGAACAGACAGAAGAATAAAAACCACTGTGACCAGTTGAAAACAAAGTGAAGTGAAGCTGGTGTGAAGCAGCCGGATGAGGAACAGAAAGAAAACAACAGACTCAGCAGCTTTTACTCGGGACAAGATTTTCTGAGCTGACTGGAAGTAGTTCTGTAAATTTCTGAGGTCAGAGAGAAATGGAAGAAGAACGAGGGAAACGTTTATCCTCCTCTGTACAAATACTGCACGTCGCTATGTGTCACTGTAGGAGAACTCTTAAGTTAACTGTCTTAACTCTTATTCTTCGGCACGTTGTGATTTGGTGCTCGACAAATAAATCCTTGAAATGCAGTAAAATTCTGCTCTGGATCATTTTTCTTGTCTCACTCATGCAGTGGTGAAGGAAGTACACTCAAACATGTTACTTGAGTAAAAGTAAGTACTTGCTTTTAAATGTACTAATGTATTAAAGGTAAAAGTATTTGTCCCTAATGTAACTTTCATCATTATGACTGAATCCACGTCAGGTGTTTCTGCAGCTGTGCTTTGTTCTCGTTAAAGGAGGCGGGGTCTAATGTTAAGTGGTCGCTCTGATTGGATCGATGGACCAATTCACTTCTCTATATTAACCACTTTTATAAATATATATTAAAAAAAACAAAGTAAAGCAATGCATTATAAAACATATACTGGAGAAGAAAGTACAGATACTTTCTGATATGTGCAGTGAAGTAAAAGTAGGTAAATCTGCTTGAGTAAAGTACAAATACTTTAAAAGTACAGGCTCTGTAAGTACAGCAACTAAGTAAAACATTTGCCGTAAGTTACCTCCACCAGCTGTTTTTGGTCCAAACACTATATGTTGACTTGACGTGAGTGATTGTCTGAAAATGTGTGTGTGATGAAATTGTGTGATGAATTTCTTCAATCTTATAAAACACATCCAGACTCAACACTAAACTTTTATTTTGTTTTGGTTGCATTCACAGAAACAGTCAAACCTTCAAACAGGATTTACAGCATCAGGAACAAGGAGACAAATCAGGTGAACGAGTGAAGCTAGAGAAACCAACGACAATGTCATGGTTCAATTCAGAAATGAAATGGTGATTCTTTTAGTTAAATTCAGCCCCAGGTTTTCTCTGCTGACTCCGGCAGTGGCGAGTTTACAGCCGGAACGTTAGGAGAAGAGCTGGAAGCCGTTGAAGATGATCTTTTTTTCTTGCGTGTCTTTTAAATCTTCAGCCGTCTGCTGGTCCCTGAAGGACTCGAGCCAAACCCTCTGTCCGGCCGCCAGCTGTAGAACCACGCCGCCTGACAGCACCTGAAGCACGACACACACACACAGACAGTAGCTGCACATGGGGAACATGCAAACTCCACACAGGAGGACTCTGGGATTTGAACCGGTGACCTTTTCGAGTGTGAGACGTCTCTCCAGCTCGCCTGACGCAGTGAAACTCACCTGATCATTGTTAATGTTGTAATCACAGAATCCCAGCTTGTCGGTCAGAGCCTCGCTGGCAATACGCAGACACAAGCTGACCTAAAAAACAGGTTCATCACCATCATATGAGACTGTTTGTGCTCAAACTGTGCGCTTGCACTCTAATATATTATGGAGTACTTGGATTTATTTTGTGCAACAACTCTGTCAAAATCCCCCCAGCAAGAAATGAAAGTGTCCCGCCCTCATTTTGGGCACGTTAACTTTATTTCTTTGAGACAAAACCAAGTATTTTAATTTAGTTTTTTTATATGTTATGTCACGGAAACACTTTTGCCGGCGGCTACCAAGCTCTTGAATAAAGAAGTGGTGAAAACATGTGTGTGGTCTAGAAGGTAGTAAAACACACGTGTATGTTACCTTGGCCACAGAGTGAAAAGTGAAGTAAAAAATGCCAGGTACTCTGCAGGTGAAGTAACCAGTGGCTGCAGTGAAGTCTCCAGGGTTGTTGACCGCAGTCATCTGGAAGGTCACAGGCTGAGAGATGCACAGAAAAATCCACGATCAAGAAAAAGGGTAAAAGAGTAATATCTCCTTCATTTTCCAGTTACGTTTACATGATGGATATAAACATCTGTACGACCAGTTTTTTTCATGTTGTAATCTTGATAAAAAGACATTGTTATTAGAAATACAGCAGATTTGAAAAATTGTTTTCTGTGTTTCAGACATTTTCCTGAACTGTTCTGAAAGGGACGTACGTGAGAACATTTCCCACCAGAGAAAATGTCCAGTAAATGTTATGACGAGCGAGCGGTTGTGTTGATGATGTTTCAAACACACGTCCGACACAAATCTATGAAAATATCTCAGGATGAGAAAGAGGAGTCATACACGAAGACTAAGACGAAGACAAAGAGCCTTTGGGTGATGACGCCCAATTCCCCGAACAAGCCGTGTGCCTGAATGTTTAGTGATCGTGTCTGACTCTGACTGATCTCTTGCTGCGAGAGGAAAACTCTGTTTTCTGGAGTTCATGTCTGGAAACAACTTGTGAAGGATGGTGATGGATAACAGACGGAACCTTGTTGAGTGAAGGGTAGCTGTTGTCAGTCCTGATCACTGAGAAAGCTGAACGGGCATCCTGAGGGGAGTGTTGACCTATAAACAGACACACACACACACACACACACACACACACACGTTATTATATGTTGACACTGTATGCGAGCGTGATACACGGACTACCGAAGGGTCGTATCATTACCATGGCCGCTGCTCCTCCCCTCAGGGCCAGGGGAGCCGGGTAGTCCTGGCAGACCTGCTGCTCCCAGATTTCCACGGAAGCCTTTAGGACCCATTGGTCCTTGCAAACCTCGATTTCCCATCTCCCCCTTCAAGAGTAGGACACCTGCATCAAGTGAACTGCCGGCCACCACAGCTGGAGACAAACAGGACAAATAATCAGTGAGTTTTTAGGTGAAAAATTGGCAACACGGTAAAATTCCTTTTGAATTTAGATTTTTTACCTGGCTCTCCTTTCTCTCCCTTCACTCCAGGCCACCCATCCCTGCCGGGGGATCCTGCCACTCCTTCACGTCCGTCTCGTCCTCCGCAGCTCACGTCGCATTGGGCCGCCATCACAAGCCAAGCCACACCCACCAGAACCACCATCCCATAATAACCTGCCATGGTCCAGTAACTGTTAATGGTAAGAAGAAAGAAGGAAAAGAAGTAAAATATGTGTATCTGTACCAGTATTTGTAGACCTCATGTTTTCTATTTGACTTTTATGACTATGACTAATATTAATTTAATCTAATTTATTTATTTAATTTCGGACAGAGTGGAGAAGTTTTTAAAACTACATTTAAATCTCAGAATGTTACAAATACGTAATTTAAAACCTTTTTTTTGTTGCTATGATTCCCACACAAATCAATATTCAAAGAAACACATGACAAGTTATAAAAAGACAGAAACAGAGGATAATTCCTCTGGGAGAAGTTTACAGCCATTCATTTCTGATTTCATTTTTTTTTTTGCTGTAGTTTGGTTAAGATAAGTTAAGTTAAGAGTTAAAATCCCTTTCACAGCGTTGACTATGTGAAAAGTCTTTCTCGTAGAAAAACTTCTCTTTTGTTCACGAAACTACAGTTTCGTTGGGTTGTGTAACAGTGAATGAAATTAATTGATAATAAAACAATAAATGCAACTAAACGTTATTTTCCTTAGAAATGGACCGATTGTTGAATGTTGGAGATTTTACTCACCAGCCGAGGTGTCTGTGTCACCAGCAGAGATCTGGAGCTGCAATGAAAGACTCGCTGACACACACACACACACACACACACACACACACACACACACACACCCACACACACCCACACACACCCACACACACCCACACACACCCACACACACCCACACACACAAACCCCTTCCACCACCACCACCACGCCACCCACCTACCACCGCCCTTTTTCACACAGGTCAGACCAGCGCATTCCTTCCAAATACTACACTTGACCCCATCTCTTCATCCTATCTCTCTCTCTCTCT